AATCTGTGTTGGAGCTCCATCCAATACCTCGGGGGTTAAGTTGGAGTGGCGTTTATGATCCAGAACAGATCATCCAACATTCGTACCTGACTTCACTAATGCTCTTGTGGCTGAATGCAATCAAATCCTCACAACAATGCTCAGTCATCTAATGCAAAGCTGTCCCCAGAAGAGTACAAGCCGTTACTGCAGCAAAACTCCTTATTAATACCCGTGATTTTAATATGAGCATGTTTTATGAGCACATTTGGACATACAGTGTCAGGCTTGGAGTGGGTTCCAATTTTACATACCTTGTGTCCCACCCTTACTGGATTTTGGCTTGCATTTATCCCTGCTTTAGGTTTCTCCCCACTGTATTCTTTCTCCCTATAAAATATCTTTAATATTTTTAATCTGACTTGCTGGAGTCACTTGTGCTGGCCTAGGCCAGGTTGGATCTTTTAACACTCACATAGCCTGCATGAGAACAGCTAAAAGTTAACTGTCACTATGTGAATTACTGCAGACTAAAAGCATTTGGGAAGTTGACTCACTTGACGTTGATTTATTAAAATGGAATTTAAACCTCGTTTTGGGCTATTCGTCTTTTGATTTTGTTTATCAATAATTTGATGTCAGCTGTCAGTAACTTAGTGACTTAACAGGCTCTGTTATTAGCAATGTGGATTTTTATTCTGTCTCCAGTTGTGGTCAGGTTTGGGATGAGTTCCAGCAGAATTTTGCCTTGGGCCTTGGAACAGGTTTGGATTCAAAACTGTGGCGCTGTGGGATGGTTCGAGTTTGAACATACTTCTGTCATGCTTTAATCGTGCCTTCAGATCAAAATTTCAGGCCTGATTAAAGCACTAACTTGTATAGCTGCACACAAACTAAGGTATAACTGTCAATTAAAGAAGCATTCTGTTACATTTTCCTCCTGGGCTAGGCAGGCGCCAGGTGAAACGACCAGCACTTTGGAGTGTCTCAGTTGCCTGGCCATATGTAATCGAATAAGTGAGGTGACTAATTTTTGCCATAAAAGCTCAGCTACAGCAGTGATGAGTGCTAGTTAGTGTGAAAGTTATTGCTACAGTTAGGCTGTGCCACTTTGGTGCCTTTGCTGTTTCAAACTGTGCCAGCTTGACGTTAATGACTGCTGCGAGCAGAACATGAGAATGTAGAGCTGTAGAAGTTCTCAGTGGCTGAGAGGCGAGTATGGCACCACCAGTGGCTGCTGCCAGATGACTGGGTACGCTCTGACCTCAAGATTGTGAGGCACTGCCTGGAGACTGTGCCACTGGCCAAGCCTCCACCCCTCAGAAACCTTCTCGCAATGCAATTAGAGAGCTTACTTGTGCACTGTTTTGACCAAAACAAGGTTTTTTCACCTCTGAGATCGCAGCGTGTGAGGAGAGCTGGCGCTGTTTTGCAAGTCGCAGCTAATTTCACACCCAGTTAAATATTTACACACATCAGCCTCAAAAGTAATTGTTTTAAGTACTGAAAAACATGCATCTCCTCTAGGGTGAAATGCTTTCATGCTGTCCAGCAACTGATACACAAACATTGCAATAAGGAAACATTTCAGGTTTTATGAGCAGAATGAGGAGAAAGATTTTCTGTGGATTATCATGGCATATAGGATGTCTGAGTTTAGCAATTTATCTCAGTCATTGTGCCGGCAAAGTTTCTTGCTGGAAATTGCTTAAAAGAGAATTCCAACTTGAAGTGTTACTTGTCATATAATTAAGTAACAATTTTATACTGTTTTCATGCTTTAGTGTTCTCTCACTACAACACCCAGCAAGAATTACAAGCATTACAAATGATTCCTGAGACAAGTTTTTTGTCGCTTCAGTCAGAGAACAGAAGTCAAGATGTGGATAGGTATCTAGCTAGCCAGCTACCTCACTAACTTCTTGTCCTCATCTGATGAATGACTTCTGTCATTTTAGCAATTCATTCTCTCCATTGTAATGATAATTTGAAGACAGTTACTACAGTTATAGGGCTGCAATAAAATATTCTTCATGGCAGTAATGCTAGCTCTCTTCCTTCCTCTGCATTCACCAGCTAGCGGATTTTAAAATAGCCTGACATCAAAAATCCATCTCAGCAATTGTAGTTTTCAAAAGTTACTTCCACCTTCACGATACATCCCCAGAAGGGGGTTTTCCTCATTTTTAAAGCTGAAAATGCCCACTTAAGAGACTAATGCAGCATCGCTGTAGAATGTGAGTTTGAAACATAAATTAATGATGGTTACCTTTTTAACCAGAACGTCTCTTTTAAGACTGCTCATGTGTGGCAATTCAGTGTTAACAAATACAAAGACATTTTTTCATACCACCCGTTTCACCCACTTGCAGTTACAACATATATAAAATCTCAAAAACTCAGGCAAGATAAGCATTCTTTTCATTGAGTCATTCTGTTTTCTATAACATTTCTGAAGGATCCTAACAAACGTGAACATTTCCCACATCTCTACATCCCTGCTTTGCCCTGCTGTCAGAGTGTTACCTTCATAAGCCAGATTGCATTCTTGTTTCTTGGGTCTAAAAGCCTGAGCCTTCCCCAGGATTCATGTGCTAAGAGAACCTGCATCCACTGTAAGAAAGCTCACAATGAGCTATTTACAAAACTTTATGGAAAACTTCAGGCTCTAATTCCAAATCATGACTGAGTGCATTTTAAAAGTACAAACTGGACTTGGAACGTATGCATCATTGCACTTAGTCAGTGGTGAATGACACTTAAAATGACTATACTAATCTATTTGAACTGCTTTCAGCACATGATGCCAATGTTGCATCTAAGAACAAGGTCATTAAATGATCAACATGCAGAAAAGGGAAGGATCTCACTGTTCTTGAAGACTTTCTCTCTTCTTTTTTAGACACGTACGTATAGTAAATGGTGTGTGTCCTTTTCTTTCAGACTGAATTCTATGAAATTGAAATGATTTACATATGAATCTCAGACTACATCTGATTTCAATTGTCTTGTTTTAAATAATCAGGCACTAATGCTGTGTTACAGTTCACATGTATATGGCTGTACGACATGAATGCCTTGAGTAAAGTCTGGAACTTTATAGGTTCTCTGTCAGTTTTCTAGATTCAGGAGTACAGTAGGAGCTTTCGCATGTGTGGTGAGAAAAGCTGTAAGGCATTTTATTTCCCATGACACCAAATTCCTTATTCATATTTCTTCCCCTTTGGTTGGATTACTTTATTACAGCTAGGTAGATGAGATCAAAGTCTTTCTGAAGCAACAAAATTTTATCATGCCCTATTTTCTTTTTTGGGCCATCTTCCATGCATGGAAATGGTCCCGCATCTGTTTCCTACAATGCTTCTCTCTCTTGGTCGCAGTATCCACAGGCACTTTGAATAAGAATGCCCATAAAGTTAAACATATCAGAATGGTTGTATTCCAACATGTAATAAATCGGTAGAGACACACTGAGGACACAGTTACACAGTCCATTTATAAGTATCTTCACTTTCTCAGTGCTTGTGATTTTACAACTAGGTCAAAAGGCAAATGAGTTTTGTAAAGGACTATATTAGAACACATAAGCAAGAAAGAGTCATTAAAGAGACCAAAATTAAAATGTAACAATCTCTGCATCTGTCGTAAACATGTATACTTCCCTCCTGCAGTGGTGCCCCGTAAATCTATAGAGCAAGATTTTTCAGACTAGTAAAACACCCTACTAGTGATGTATCTAGAAGGCAGAAAGAACCTTTGAAAAAGTGCTTTGGGGTGGTTATTTGAGAGTGAGCTGTTTGAAATGATGTTTTCTCTCAAGCTGGCTAACGCAGAAAGAAGTCAGATAATCTTTTGCTATGAATCCAAACATCTGTATTTATTATAGAAGCTACACCAGTGGCTCTGCAGTCAGGATTTCTTTATCGCTTTATCGCTATGGGGTGGTTCTAATTGTTGTATGACGTATTTATATACTGCATACTGGGTACTAAAGTGAGAGGATACAAATTCAATGGACTTAACAAGGCTAAGGGATACAATCATACAGAATATTACATAAGATGACAGATAACATTAAATGCTAGATAAAGGCCAGAATACTGCTTTAACATTACTAAATTTCTCAATTACTTATTTACGTTGATCTGCTAAAGAGTTTTTTCAACTTGTGTACTGCCCAAGATAGCCATCATAAAGGCATTATAAAAGGTATCTGTATACATAATCTCTGTTTTAGTGTTCTTTAACATGACCTTACTGACTTAATCTCATGGCTTGGAAGTGAACACACTTGCTCTTGGCTGTAGCCTAACCTCAGTGAGCTCATTAGCTAGTTAAAAAGAGTTTGTAAAGAAACTTTTTTTGAGAAGTCTGAGGATTACACATTAGCTTTGTGAATAACTGCTTTATTTGGCTTTAGCTTGGCTTATGTTTTAGATTGAGAATCTTGTTGCATTCGCCTTCTTTTTTTGTTCATAGCTGTAGCCCTTAATTTGCTTAATAGTTAGCTAGTAACATAACAGATTTCAGTATGTATAAGCGATTAAGCAGTTTGCTAGTATTTTAAAAAGTATTTTATTGCTGGCATTATTCTGGTTCATTTAATTCTGGTTTACATTTATAAATGGTTCTGTCTGACATTTCCGTCTTGACATCTTTAAAGTTTAAAAAAGAAACAGGCAATTGATGTATTGTCTTTTATAATGCCTTCAAAATCACAGTACTTGACATTTCCCCAATACACGATATGTATCTTAATATTTAGTTTTTCTGAGGTTTGATAAGTTAGAACAGACAGAATAAAAAAAAAAACTATCAAAATTATTATCAATATCCATGATATGCTCAGAAAAGTTGTTGTGACATATATCACAATACAATAAAGTATTGTCATATTGCCCATGCCTATTTTGACATACCACTGCTCTGGAGTGATGAGTATTTTGTCCACCATGTCCATAGTAGTTTCTTTAAAGTATGAAATTCATTGGTTACACAGATATATCCTTTTGCGGGCTTACCTTCTCACCGATGTCACCTTTCTGGCCTTCTTCTCCCATGTCACCCTGTGAGGAAACGGAAAGTTCACATTATTAAACCACTCAGGACCACATTTTAATATTGTATTCAAAGTTCAATTTCAACCTCTATTGGGCCTCCATGTTTGGTTTGAGAGCACTATCATTGCTGTACGGCAGTTGGAGCAACATTCAGACTTCAGATGGTAGATGAAAAGCTAGCACAATCTGAATCTGAACACACAAGCTTTTGTCAGTTTTTAGTTGCAGTGCCAAACTACTGGCAGCAGCCTACGCTTTCTTTGCTCATGTTCTATAAGTCTGACATTCAGTCAATAGGCAGACAGCAATTACTCTGTGACAGCTTCATTATTTTAAAACATATTTCTGCCATTTAACATACTGTTGACTGGATTTCTGCATTTGTTATTGCTTTATAATACATGGGTACTTCAAGCAGTGATGCTAGGTAAAGCTGGAGAAAGCGATGATGAAAATATGTAGGTTCTATGCTATCAGTCCTTTATTATGATATAGCACACTGACTGTTGGAAAAAATCTATAGCAGTACAGCAGGAGTAAAGTGAACTGCCAACAGTCTATTCCTCAGTCCACATTTTGAATGTTCAAATTTGAGCAGAGTGCTGGGCAGAAAGTGCAGTCTTGGATGTATCTGTAGTGAGGTGGCCTGTCCTGCTGCTGAGACCAACTGTGCCAATGCATTAACAAAAATGACTCATAGAGTCCCTACCTACCTCTTCAGCTCCACTGTACATGTTCTCTTTTCAACCAGAGACAGACAACCATTAGTTGTCTTCTATAGACTAATGAAACCATTAGTCTATAGAAGGGTAGGTGTTTGTCTGTGGTTAGACCCTCTCTGGGTGAAATATGTACTTTTTTCTTCATACAGAGTTGCGAGTTTATTAGGTATATTGACAAGCCTATGGTCCATCATCCAAATAATATCTGGCCAGTGGTAGTACTGTGGTGGTCCATTTCCAAAGATGTATGACGTAGAGTACGACTGATAAATTGTATAACAAAAATGGACTATGGTCAATTTTCCAGAACTAGAGTTCAAAAATTATTAAAACAACCGAGGCCTGGGAGACCACCACCCTGCCATTATCAGAAAAACAGTACTTAAAGCTTTCAACTTAAAGCTATGAGTCTGAAAGGATGTGTAACTTACTGAAAAATATGAGACAAAAAAAAAATTTTGCAAATCAAACAAAGAAGCTGCTGGTGTTCTCAGAACAATGGACTGACCATCAGCATTACTGAATGTGTTTGGGGTTACTTGGATGGTGAATAGCAGAAAACACAACCAAGTATTAAGGCTGAACTTTGAAGGTGTGGAAAAATATCCTTGCAGATTTCTTTGAAAAACTGAAAGCAAGTCTCCTGAGAAGAATGGAAGCAAAGAGTGGACACAATATATGCTGAAAAATCTGATATTACATTTTAATATTGAGGCTTCTGTGTAAATATTCACATTATTCTGTTAAATGTTTACTTTTTCCTGACTCTGAAAAATGAACAACTTAATGGCTGTTTTGAGTAGATATTAAACAATGATCTCTAACTTTTGCACAGTACTGTAGGTATATATTATTATTACCTAATATACCTAATAAACTGGCAACTCGGTTTATGTCAGTGTAAGGCAGAATTTAGGGCTGTTCCACCATTTGCAGAATAATTTAGACTAGATCCTAGTTTCACACTGAAATTAGAACATATCCAAATATCAGTGCAGCACACAAAATGTGGCCGTAGTCCACATTTTACACAACACTTGCACTCTGATCAGTATTACAGTTTGATGTAATGGTTCTTGCAGTGTTCCAGAAGAAAAAAAAATCACCTATGCACTTGTTGACTGTCCATTGCACCTTTATTATTATTTAATGTGATGCTATCTTAATCCATAATACTACTTATTGCTTATTGTGTTAAATAAGAAGAGAGAGGTTGACATCATTGTTCTTAGTGAAGATTTTGACATCTAGCCAAGAGTATAAATGCAGAAACATGGCATTACCTTTTCACCCTGCTCTCCTTTTTCACCCTGTCGGGGGAAAAAAGGCAGCGCATGTTGAATGTTCAGAAAGTGCTGAAGCAAAGGAAAAAACATCACCTAGTCTAGTTAGATCATATCCGGGATTTAGTTTGCATTCAATTAAGAAACTCATGTTACAGCTACTCCTTCTACAATTACCTCAGAAGTAATGAACAACCAATTCTCCAGTGCCTCAGTTTAAGATAAACATTCACACCCAGACACCAAGACTAAGACACGGTGCGTAGAGACAAGGCAGTCACCAGTGTTTGAAATGAGATACAAATATTTGCGCTGATGAACAAAATCAATATCTGTATAAAAATCCTGTGGAATGAAAATATTGTGAACTGAGGTTGATGACAATCTGTATTCTTGCAATATCCTCTAAAAGAACAATGTGATTTTATCTGATGCATATTCTAGTGCATGTCAACATAATCTCTGGTGGTTTGATGCCCAAAAATACACTGCATATGAAAAAATGATGACACAACATAACGTCCAATAAAAAGACCAAAAAAAAACAAAAAAAAATTAGAGAAACGGAATGGATCTCATGATTGGAGAGAAATTGGGCACATAATGGGCCACAAACCTTGGCACCAGGTTTTCCATCTAATCCTGGCATACCCACCTCCCCCTACAAACAACAGAACAAATAAGTGACCCATTCAATACCCATACACAGGAGCCATGAACCACTATGCAAGAACAGTATCAGGAGTTAAAATGACTTGAGATGGCTCATATTTATGGTTGGATACAGTCCGTCGATTCTTTTTAAGGACAAAGAGAAAGTAGTTTGATTCTTCTTGAGCATTCAAATTCTTTGCTCGTTTCGTTTGTTTAACTATAATGGCGCAGTAATGGTAGCTATTCATCATACAGTCTACACTGTTTTCAGTTAAGCATTTTTAAACTTCAGCCTAAAATTGTAGATCTTAGGCCTGTTTTACCTACATCAGAAGCAGCCAGGCATGGCTAGAAGAACAAAACATTTTAAGTTTAGTAGAACTGTCATTAAGCTAAGATGAAGTTCTTCTCACGAGCATGTTTGCTCCACTTGATTACACTCTTAACAAGGTGCCAAAAAAGCTTCTTTGAAAAGATGTCAAAGTAAAAACAGACATCAATTGAATCATCAAAGGTATCAAGAGTCTGCAAATTCCAAATTATCCAACGAAATTCATGTAAATGACCTACAGACAAGGCTGAATGATTAATCGGTCTAATATCAAAATTTTCATTTGAAAAAGTACATTTTTCACATTGCAAGAGCTGCAACTCAATTATATTCTACATTATTCAACAAGTTTTAAGTGGGGAAATTTAACATAACACAGCTGGTGAACTGGCTTTCTGGCACACACTATTCAACATTCAAGACTCTAGCCAGAAAAAAGACGTGCTGGTCGTCTTGGCGAAAAAAAGGCCTGGAGCCTTTTTAAAGAAAACTGTTGCATTTAAATTGCAATCGTAATATTGATCAGAAAATCACAATTAGACATCTTCCTTAAGTCATTCAGCCCTACCTACAGCGTTGGCATGTTTTCATTTCAGTTTTTTCATGCACATTAGTCTGAGTGTGCTACCCTTCCTTTTCACATTAGTGTGAAAAAGCTCTGTAGGTGTGCATTTTGCTTAAAGATTTATGTACACTTGTGCAAACTGTGTAAACTGTCTGTCACTCATCAAAATGTAATTGTAGCCATGCTAATTTCATGCTCACTTTCAAACAATCTAATTGAACCACACCTGTACAAATGTATTAGTTTCTGCACTGTATTTTTTTTTGCTGTAGAACAAGAATGTATAGCATCAGAGATCCATTTCATGAGGCCTGGCACCCAACAGGCCAAACACAGGCACGGAATTAGGATTTTCAGCCTTTTGTTGTTTCCAAAGTGAGTATGACTCCCACCAGAAAATGGTCTTTTTCTGTTTCCTATTACTGCACAGCCTACTTCTCTTTTCATATCTTTTTAAACGCTTGTGAAGATTACAAAGCTGGTGTGTGTCAGATGTTCTTTCTCTCTCTCTCTCTTTCATTTTTTGGTCACTCTCACAAAGCCAGATGTGAATGAGCATCTTCATATGAAAGGGCTTTGTTTAGAAAACACTGACATCCCATTTGAAAGCAGCTTCATCCTTATTTTTTACTTGTTAGCCGGTAATGTTGTCCACTCTTAAAAATCAAAGTTTTTGGTACTTTTATGTTAAGAGCATATATATATATATATATATATATATATATATATATATATATATATATATATCTTGTGCATGTACGAATTTGATGACCTAATCTGACTCCAAATGTATAAAATCAAATGCTGATTGTATCTGAATGATTTAAATCCTGTTGGTACACTCTATTGTGCCGCACAGTGTAAGTGACATATAGGGTGCTTATTTTATTAAAGGGGCATTCGGAGCAAGATTTTCCAATTTAAAGGCTAGGAAAACCCTCTTCTGATGTATCTTGAAGGTGGGAAAAACTGTGGAAAAACTACAAGCCCTTTGGGATGGACACCATTAAGGCAGAAAGAAGCCAGATGTAATTGCTAGGAAGTTAAATATCATGTCTTTATTTGTTAATCTCTATATCAGTGGGACATCATTTCTTTATCACATTAGGGAGGATTCCCAATGGTTGTATGACGTATTTGCATTTAATTCATGGGTGCTGTACTAGGAGTGCAGTGATGGAACGAAAATACAAATATAAAACTGTGAATTCCGTCAAAACAATGAGGATGAGGAATATTATGCTAAACTACACAACATTACATAGCATGACAAAAAACCCATTGAATGCTAATTTTAGGCCAGAATGCCCCTTTAAACCATTTCAGCAGCATTTTGTCTTGGCTAGGTTTAGCTAACTTAGACCAGTCATACCAAAATTTGCTAAAGTCAAATTGATGTTAGTGGTCTGCTGTTTGGTAAAAGAAGGCCTAACAAATTAATGTTTTAAAAAAGATCCTTAGAGCTAGAATTAGTCCATTTTCATGTAGAGAGTTAGAAAACTGTGCACAGTTACAGTGGTGAACAAAACAAAGATCTCATTAGAAATATCTAAAACAGTAGCTGGTACATAAACAGGTACCAATTAACCAGAAGGAACAGAGTCAAATAGTTGACATTTATTATTTAGCCTAGAGAAATAATAATCAAACAACTACAGAACAATATTATGACTAAAATAGAAAACTGGTTGACAAAGGAAGCAATTTATGCAGGCCAGGAGAAATGTTATGTAATGCTTTTTCTGCCAAAACATCATACTCCAGGATTACCTCTGGCTTTACTACCAGCCTACTAGTTATACTTGCATATGTATTTTTTTATTGGGGCTCTTTTAGTCAGGCTTGTGAGTTACAGCAATTCCTGACCTGAGCTTTTAAAGTGATTCCTTTGGGCTTCCTTTGAAAGCACACAATGGCGTTGAGTTTCACCATGTTGATGATACTGAGCTTCTGCTCAGTCTGGCTTGAAGAAACAGACCACGATCTAAAGCTTAATCTACCAAGGTTTTTCCAACTCTGAAAAGGTTAGACAGGAAATCTTTTTAACCCCCGTTAGATATGGGTTGTTTTTGAAGCTTTAAGACAGAAGGCTGGTGAGCAGTAATAACAAATACAATCTGTTTTGCAGAGTGAGCTGGTATCACTATTCCAGACTTTTGGGTTTACTGTTATATGCCAAAAGCAATGTGTAATCTTACCTTTAATCCATCAATACCTGGAATGCCAGGCAGCCCAATGGAACCCTACGGGTTGAAAACACACTCAGTTAAATTTAGACCCTCTGGACTCTGGACATGGTCTTGCTTTTCCATTTCATATTCAAATAACTGTGCGAGGTAAAACATCTCAGGGCTTGTGCTTATATTTGGTCAATAAATACTTGCTACAGAATGGCATGACTAATTAACACCTTGAAATACCAGGCCTATTACATTCTAAGGTTTATTATTCAGTAACTACAGGGACTTCAATGCAAACTGGCTGAGCTATTCTTGGGTTATAGAGGTGTGTAATAAAACTTTGGCCCGCTGGTGGGCCCTGTCCATTTCAGGGGTTAAAACTGTCATGCAAGAAACATGCTGTCATCAAAGCATGAATCTTTTCATTTATGGAGCCTTATAAGATGCAGTACTGCTAACTGACGAGGATGAAAATAAGCTACAATGTAATGGTTTTGAGTTTGTCTTGAAAAATGGTTTGGAACAGTTCACTGAGCCGCACTTAGCTAACGCTCTCTATGTGGCAGTTACCATATTCCTCACTGTCATCTCAGTCTTTAATGATGGTATGGAAGATTTTATACTTTCATTAGCCACGCGTTCAGTAAAATAAAGAGTTCACTACCTTCTCTTCATTCATTTGGTTCTCAGCTAATATTTTGATCTTGTCTTGAACTACAATTTTTATTCATTTCTTTCAAAGTATTATCCAAAATTTGCCAAGGAAAAGCACTTGCAAATAATTCTGAATGACTCAAACTCTCTGCAGCAAGAGTGAATATGTCTAACAGTAACTACTGACATTGAGGTGCTGAGGACTTAGTTCAGCCTTAGGCTACACCCAAATGAGGGCCTTAGGTGGGACAAACGGTTTGTGAGTCATTAACACAGCAATGTGTCATCACCCCCCTGAGTAATGCAAGAGCCTGTTGATTACTGACAGCTCAGGCAGAAAATGTCTACTAAGCTTACTTTGGGAAATACTTGGAGCTACCTGATAGCAAGACAGAATCCAGCTGCTCTCCCTGTACCCCAGCTCTCGACTCTGAAACCTTGCTCTGTCTTTCTGCTTTGTATCTCAGAGTCTTAGTCCTTTTGCTGTTGACGTCTTAAAACACACAACAGGTCTGTGCAGACATATGTATGTATCTATGCTCCAAAACTGCTTACAATAAAACCTCTTTACATTGACTTACATTAAAAGTTAAGAACATTTTTGTCTTCTCCTGTAAAGTTACTATTTTGGAGATATATGTTTTTCTTTGGACAGCGATGACATACAAGTTAAAGATATAGGTCCTCTAACTCTGCCTTTTTTATTATTGCCAGCTTCCCAGCTAATTGCTAGATTGTCATCTGTTATCCACAGTGTTTGAGTGAATCAGTTTGAGTATTAAAAAAATATGGTATGTAACTCACTCTCTTGCCTTCCCTTAATTCTCAAGGCTGCACCTGGATTCACATCAACACTGTGGTGTTTATACTGAGACACTGACCGTAGCTTGCTATGCCACTAGAGTGACTCTTCATCTTAAAACATGTTTTTCATCTCCTAACATTTTTTGGATGGAGGGGGGTTGTGGGTATTGTAGGCTTTTGTACTATTAGCAGTGGGGAACCCTCAGGGCCTTCTAGCCCTTCAGAGAAGCCTAATGATTTCAGTAAGCTAAAAAATGCATCTCAAAATTTTCTTATTTATTTTGATTTAATACAATCATCATACTGTTTCTGTTTTACACTCTGCAAATGTTGTAGTAATACTGTTCTCTGTGGTACCTAGATCGATACAGCCAAGATAGTTCTCCCATTGGTTAGGACTTCAGTTGATGAACTGAAGGCCTAACATGTCTGATTAACCACTAACATAACTAATTAGGAATTGACAGCGGAAACAATCATGTTTTGATTTATAATTTGCACTACTGCTTCAGAGTGCTGAATGGCTTATTCTGTGTTGTGAAAATGCATTTTTATGTATAAAAATAATTAAGCATTGAGAAACTATGGAATAAACATGGAATACATTACTGAGTGGCAATACACTTAAATTCTCTGGTGTTTTTTTTTTTCCCCTCGTTTTTGAAGGCCTTGATCTAACAGGCACAGTTCGCCGCTGACTAATACAGACTGAACTGAAAACATTTACATTAACATTTGTTAGGTTAGCATTTGATAAAAATGAAAACTGAACAGCATGAGCCTTGCCAATCCATAGTCAAATCTTTCAACTCTAAAGGAAATAAGACTTGTCCAAATCTCATCTATGAAAATGAGAACTGAAAGGAAGTTCAGAACAAAGAATAGTCGACTGGTATTGCCACTATATATTTTCTTTGCATCAGTGTTCACTGTCACAAAATATAGACATCTAATATTGCTTCATGGCATATATTGTTTGAGGTTCAGTGAAATACCCTGTTTCTCTTGCATTTATTTTGACCTTAGTTCTCTGTGCATGCTCTTCACTTCTTAGTCTTCTCCACTGACAGCTGTGCCCAATTGTAGCCTATTGTTTGTTCACTCAAAAATATTTTTTTGATTGGAAGCTTATCCACTGTTCAGTCAACACCTCCAGTTACTAACCTTCACATGAAGCTGAATTACATGCTCAAGACAACGTCCAAGTAGCTACAATGTATCAGGATTTCAGACTGAATGCATCTTTGTGCTTCATGTTAAATCAACTTTGTGATACATCACCCAGTTGCCATGATTTATGAATCTTTGGAGTAAGATCAACAGTCTGGCTTGTAAAGGATGACTTAAACTGTACCTTGGGTCCTGGAGGGCCCTCAGGTCCCTGGAAAGAGAAGAAGACAGAGAAAGAGTCATAAGGTATGAAATAATACCATTAACTCTGCCAGGCCAGTCCTTAGAGATTACTTGCCCTGCCCAAGCAAGGTTTGCATGTAGTTAGAGCAAGCCCCAAAGGCCTTTTGGATGAAGCAAGAATTACAATCAAAGCCTTCTTTCATTTTTAAAGGGAAAAAAAAAACTGTACTGTTCTTTCAGCCCATTCCCTCTGCTGAACCACAAATTGTACTGTTTAATGAGGTCCAATTGTTGATAATATCCATAATCTGGGTACTCATTACCTCTTTGGGGTGACAATCTCATCCTTTCCTGCTGAAAACTGGATTTATATAGTTCAGTTCAGAAAAAGAGCAGGCACATAAATTTGCAAAAAGAAATAACTACATCTGTTGTGAGTTTCAGCTAAATTGTTTATTGACCTCATGTTCCAGAGCGTTTGAATGACCAGGTCTATGTGAACATCCACTGGAATACTAGTCAGAATATCGGTCAGGCACGTTCACATTAATTAAACATGTCGACTGTGTGGAACTACTTCTCGGTTTCTTCGAGGGACATTAGACAAGCAGTTTATGATCTCTGTTCAAGTCGTGCATCACAAGCTACAACATTCAAGAACCTTTTGGTTCCATTTGAAAACACAACATGCAACTTGATATGCAGAATACAGCAAAACAACACACTCTCAGAAAAAGATGTATAAAAATGTCACTGGGGCAGTACGCCTCTTGTCACTGGGGTGGTACCCTCAAGGGTACATCTCAGTACCTTTAGTCAGAGATCATAATTGTTCCATAATCCATTGAAATTATATTTTCTAAGTTGTACTGACTCCACACACCCTGTCTCATCTCCAGGCGTTTTATTTTATTATTATTTTGTTTTAAAACATTAGGTTATGAAAAGGTACTCTACTTTTTACCTGGGAAAAACTTATTTAAGGTACACAATTGGAATTTAAAACCACTGTTGTACCTTTGAGAGAACATTTACATGGTTTGTACCTTGAGGAACTACAGGAAATATGTTCCTGCACAGTACCTTTATTTCTAACACTGTGCAGCTATAAAATAATCGAATGTACTGCTTGGATGACTAACCTTTCCCTGCATCAACATACTGTAACAATTTAAATAAAATAAGATTTTATTTTATTAACTTTTTACTGGTCTCCTTTTTTCAGTTTCATTTTTTTGGCTTAGTGTATCCTGAATTTTTAATTCCATTTGGGCAAGGATAATTACCCAGTATATACTCAGAAAAGCATATTGTGATCATGATAACGATAACACATCATGTTGCTCACCCCTGTCTGAGAATATATCAAACACTATTTTAGGTAAGACAGGATCAGGGAACCACAGTGTAACCAGAAACTGTCTGAGGACTTAGCACTGCATTAGACGAACTCTTGAGTGACAAGAAAGTTCTCAGAGACAAAGGCAATCACAGTCCTGTCTTCAACCATCCTTGGCCCCAGAGTCGTCATGGAGCGCTGCGCTTCATCAACCTCCTTACTTCCCTGTCAGGGTGCATACTCTTTGCCAAAAGCCCTCATGGCCCTGGCTTAGCTATGAGGAGATGCCTTTTGACTCATCAGATAGGCCTCCTCACTGGGTGAGATCCAGGAGATTTCCCTGATCCCATCCCCATCAGCCAGAACAAGACCAGCGCATGGCGCTGAGCAAAAAACACTGTTATCTGCTTGACAGATCTGTGCTTGCGCAGTCTAATTTAACATTGGCCCTGCATCTGACTGCGGTGATGAATCATGGTGCGTACTGAGGACAAGTTCAAGCCATACTTGATGTATCAAGTTCAGCACTCTCTCTGTTCCCCTGAGTGATGGATCTCATAGTAAATACCACGTTAGGAGCCCAAGAGCCCAGAGACTGTGCATATTCCTGCAGACGAAGTCTGTGGTCTGTCCCTACAGACATTACATCTCTCCTGCCCCATATTCCAAAATAAACAAGCCAAACCAAAAGCCAACCAAGCTTTGTTTCAGCATTTAGGAGATCAGTCAGTGATTGAAAGAAAGTAATGGGAAATGAGTTTATTAGGCATCGATTCAAGCGATAAACAATTCTTCTCCTCTTCTATCCTTTCCTTCCTGTCCTCTCCTTGCATGACAGCTTGAGTGGAAATACTTCTCCAACATCATTGACAATAAGCTGATTGGCTAGAAGCCAATAACAAACCTCTTTTGACTGCATGGAACACACTGGATAAATCAAAGGGCATTGTGGCCTACTTCAGTCTGAAAAACTGACTAATCCAGTAAAAAAGAACTTCTACTTTAGCCTGAATCAAAGGCATTGGAGGGAGTACTTGAATAAAGAGGAAACTTGCATTCACTACCAAAGAGGAGAAAGCCATATTCATTACCAAACAGACCCAAAGCAGCTCTTAGCAACAGCCATATCAAGAAAGTCTATAAAAGCCCCACTTGAGTTTCACTGAATATATACAGAGAAACTCTGAAAAAGGAAGCCTCTTTTAAAAAGTGCCCCTAGGCTAGTGCCTGATTTCTATTTTTTTCAAATATAAACAAGTTTTTTTTAAAAATAAATGGGACAAGCCAGAAGTAAATGCTTGATGGGCTCTGACCCATCAATGGATCTAGCCAGACTAGGCAATGTTTGAGAGTTTGTTCCATATGCATGCATGGAATACCTAGTCATTCCTGACCTCAATTATCTTGAAGGGGAATTTCACACATTTTTCAAAAATTTTTGTACAATTTAGTTGAGAAACAACTTAATTTTTCCTATAAAATATAAAATATAGCCATTTATTCACTGTCCAAAATGACCAGTGAACCTACATGAGTCAAGTTTTAAGTACCTTTAAGTACTTTCTATGAGTGATATTGTGTGTTGTATTCATTTCCTAATAAATTTTATATATCGCTGTTGTCGGAAGAAAACCTTGTTTTCCAAAATGGTAACTTTACAGGAAAAGGAAAAAACCTGCTATACTTTTAATGTAAGTCAATGGAACCAGACTTTTTTCCAAGTCATTTTCTACTGTTTCTTTTGGTCCGTTTATCATGGAATTTACACACAATGTAAAGGGCAACAGGCATTTTCAGATTATGTCAAAAACTGAAAATGGACAAAAATGGAGATTCAAGGTTTTCTTCCAACAACAGTGATAGAGTGCATTTTCCTAATTCTTTAACAAATAAAGGTTGTAAGCTATACTGCCATACAACATAAACATGAAGCTCCGGGACAGAGCATTAAGAACATTTTTACCAGAAACCCTAGCTGAAACCCAAAAACAATGTCACTACACAAACTTCCATCTGCATGATCCCACACATGTAATGCCCTTAAAGATCACCACAGAGTTATACATCCCACTGATGTTCCATATTTAGTGCCCCCCTCCTCAAGCCCCCAAATGCAAGCTGCGCGCAAGACTGCAAACCACCTCTGGAAAGCAGAGGGACCCTTAATTTTCCCCAGAGCAACCTTATGGCACTGATGATTCCCAATAGATCCTACAAATATTTCTCCTTTTCTCCTCTTCACTGCTCCACGAGAACTTAATCTTTATAACCAGCACCACATGTCTTGGATGTCTTTGGAAAACTCTGGAATTCGCCCATTTGACGGCAGAATCTCCATATAAGTGCTAGACTGTGCTAAACAGGCACTGGCCCCCAGTGGGGTGCATTACATAAATAATGACCTGGCTATGTCTTCATTTTCTTTCCCAAAACCTATTTTTCTTAAGCATTGTTTACCATCTCATAGCTGGCCACATAAATCTTAACATGACTTGAGTGTTTCCTTACACTCTTAAAAATAAAAGTTCCTGAATGGTTATTGGCTTTGATGTAAAGTTCTGAAGTTCAAGGAAACCATTTAATTGCTATAGAACCATTATATTTGTAGAGGATTTTTAAAATCTTGAGAAGGTCTCACATCTCACATTTGCAAAAATGGTTGCAAAATCCATTGAAAGGTTCTTTAGGCAACCAGTCATGGTTCTATGGCATTACTCCTAAGAACCCTGTTTGTCCCTTTCATTTTTAAGAGTATATTTCAAGAGTTCTGGAGTGTGTACTTTGTTGAATGCTTAAACGGACACTTTGGAAAATTTCCACTTACCCCAGATGTAGTCAATGTGTTTGGTCTCCAAATTTTGCCTCTTTAGCTTAAAACTAGAGCTATGAGGCTAACATTACTAACAAATACTTGAAGCCAATAGTCACAAACACGTTCTCCACAAAAATGTATCCAAAATTTCTGCTCAAACTGCATCCTGCTCTTCTTTAAGGTCCCGCAGATGTGTCAGTGTGGTTTAGGAGAGAACAGGACTTAATGTGAGCTATAAAAAAGGAATAAAACTTCATCACATAGCTAAATGCTGCAGTCAGCTTTTTTTGAAAACAGCCAAATTACAACTCCCCTTCACCTGCATGCATGTCACGCAGACATAAAGATGCTTAATTACATCTGTGATTTCTATAGTTTCAATTTATTAACATATCTCTTTAGTTTCAAATTTCAATATTATCAGTTAGATATTAAAAAAAAAAACAGAAATCACAAAGAAAATGTGTAGTGTCTATATGGCTGCATACATGTGAAGGGGAAATCTGGTTCATTTTTATAGTTCACAATAAGTCATACTGTGTCCTAAACCGCATCATCACGTATGCAAAACCTTGTGGTTTGAGGCGGTTGAAAGAAGTTTAATAAGCAGACTTGCTTACCGAAAAGATTCAGGTGATTATTGACTTCTTGTGTTTGTCAGCAATGTTGGCCTTGTTAGCCACCTAGAGAAGTCAAATTTGAGCACCAGTCATGTCTTGGCTGATCAACTATATCCAGGGTAAGTGGAAAATTGTGCATATTTGATTTTTCAGCTAATGGTATTGAGAAATTTGCAAACGTCTTGAAGAAACCTACAATTCTGGCCAGTGGTGTCTACCTTATTGTCCTTAGAGAGAGTCTAAGTCTTTTTATGACGACGGGGATACTTGTGTACTCTTGTATGCTGTTTTAAGTGCAGATGGATCCTCTGATGATGACATTGATTCTTGTTAAAAGCACATTAGTGTCATGCTTTCTGCAAACCTCTAAGATAAAAAGCCTTGGGTCATTCTAAATGGAATACATGGGTGATTTTCTTCCTTTTACAGTGGCTTTCTGTGGTCTCTAAGTGAGATGAGCAATCTCTTCTTAAGTCTGGCGCAAGACATATAGCATATTAGTCAATGTTAACTTTGACATTCATTTTCTTTCTCCTCATTAAGAGTGAAGTCAGCAAGGCAGAACTAAGTCATGATGAAAATATGACCCACTGTAATTTTCCTCGAAACACACATACTCCGAAGTGGCTGAAACAGACATCTCTCCTTGATTATCCCCCACCTGCACCCCCACTCTGATTTCTTCTTCAAGAAGTGGTAATGAGCCTGTATATGGCTGTGCATCACATGTCTCCCCACATCTCTGGCACCCCTGTGCCCTTGTGAAAATTTACATTGCTCCTACTGTGTTTGCCTCATTTTCTGTCCTCACTTGCTTGGCAGTAGATGACATGGTTTGGCCTGGCATATTTGATACCCTTTTTATAAGGGAACTTTCATTAAATGCCTTATTTGCTAAACACAAAAAGCAGTATCCAGTTGCTGTTAATTGGAACAGCTTGGCCCTTGTAATAAGTTTCATGTGTGAAAATAAACATTTTTAAGAAGGCTTCATGAAATACGTTGCTGTGACTCAGAAATTGCTTCAAATAAATCAGGCGTTAAATCCCAGTAACTTTTGCCTGTAAGTTAGGTTATTTCAAATGAGAGGCAGCATCCATAAGTAATTGAGTTCATTTCCGAAATGATTTTGCATTACTGACAGAAAGGGCTTTTACTTGATGATTGATAATTGTTGGACAGGAAAAAGATTATTAAATAGGTTTTGGCTATTTTAGATTGCAAAACAGTCTGCTAAATAAGGCAAGATGGGGCAGTTAAGACGAATGTGACATGCGCATTTTTCCCGGCATATGGCACTGTGATTTAGGTAAATAGCTGAAGCACCTATTAAGTCATTCTGTTTTTTAATATGCATGCGTTTTCATGGACAGAATTGATTTAAACACAAGACTTTTCAAATGGCCCATCAGTCCTACATCATGCTTTTTTTGACCTGTACAATTACTTACTAATGGAACGTCAAAATTAGCACATTTCATTAGGTGGTCTGTTCGCTGAATCATCCTTTTCCTTTAATAGCACTGCACATCCACCGAGGGTCGCACAAACTGACAGTGTGCATCGACCAGTCTGATTTAATTAATGAGGTATAGTAGTGATATTTGCAATTAATATTAAAAGCAACTGCACATGCAATGAACATTTGCATCTCAATATGCAAATGTTCATTGCATATTGAGAGGACCTGTGGTGTGACTTTGTAGGTAGGATTTTGCATTGGACAAGTTACTTACCATAGAGCCGAGCAGTCCTGGAGTTCCAGGGTCACCCTGTGATGGAAGAAACAGCAACATATTTAATTGTACAAGTGTTGAATAATTTTATTTTTAAACTACAGTATGGGCTACAGCTCCTTAAATCTCATGTTGTCATTATTGTCATAATCTCAATGTGGCATATAATATTGCAAATGTCATAATATTTATTTTTTCTGACACTTGATCCCCAGTAGTGTAATATTTAAAAATACTTTTAAAAAACTATGAGTACAAAAGACTTTTATTCATCGTTTCACATACTGAACTTCACTGAATCCAATTAAACAGGAATAAATATGCTTAATAAATATTGCCATATTTCCCAGCCCTAATTAATATCACACCATTAATTAATATTACACCATACTTATGCTTTATATATGCAACTTCTAAGGCTGGCTTTACACTGTGAAATGTTCATGTAACTTTAGTTGTTTAAACTTACATGAAACTAAATTGCACTTGAGTTGCATAGTATAAAGTGTCTAGCAACTCATTTGAAGCTTAGCCACAACAGTTGCAAGCGTCTCAACCTCAAATGACATACTTTGATTTCACCAGATCAGCTACAGGAAAATAAAACAGTGGTTGAAAATGAGACCCCAACAGACTGACTGACAGACTGACTGAGGTTGGTAGTTTTTGATTTTGTCAGTTTCCTAAGCCATGACAAGAAACGTGAAGTTTCTTAAAGCTAATGTTTTTGTAACCAGCTTTGTTAACTAGCCAGCTAATGACAACAGCTGTTGAAATGCCTGCTTGTGCCAACATTTATTCTTCTTTACCATGCTGTTAGATGTTTTTTTACATCACTACATTAATTTCATTCCATTTATTTTATCTCTTATTATATTAATTTTACACAGATATCAAATTCATTTGGGATTAAAAGTGTGAAAACTATTACAGAAGGGGAGACGGGGTTCCCCTTTTTGAAGCTGTTGTGCTTGTAGGACAGGATGAGTGAGACATTAAGTAAGCTATGACTATTGTGGCTACTTAAACCTTCATTTTCAAAGACTTAATATATACACAACAGATAAAAAACTCAAATATATAGTAAAGGACCCTCTATATATTAATGTTAGATATCTAGATATAGAAAAAGAACAGCAATGACAGCCACACAAACATATGATGATCATAAAAATGTTGCAAATATGTAAACTACACTTAACAGATGACTTTTCAGTGAGAATTGTATGGTGTATCAATAACATCAGCTGCTATTTTGGCTAACTAGTGAAGTAATTGAAGTGTAACTAATGCAGTAATATAAATGTTGCGTAGTGACTGTCATGTTGCATGGAAATAACCTTACAGGCAACTCACAACATGCAACCAGTTGCATGAACGTTTCTCTGTGTAAAGCCAGGTAAATGGGATCTATATTCTCCCAAACTCTTCTTAGTACAGCATTTACTCTAATAAGGTAGAGTGAGAATCATTTTGAACAATATCTCTCTTTGTGATCATGCCACTTAAAGCTTCTAAAAAACAGAAAGCATGAAACGCTGAATGTTGTAATTACCCTGTTCCTTACTGAAGTGTTTTGGAAAGGTTGATAATCCTGTCTAACTGATGATAACATTTTTTATTCTTTTTCTTCTCAATATGTGGACTGTCCTTCTTCTTAACAAGGGAGGTTTGAATATTCAAGAGCTTTACAGTGATCAGCTCATTGTATTTCAAGCATGAAAACAAATAGTGCAGCATTCTTACATCATTTTCTGAAGCGAGTAACTGGAAAGACTGAAAACAATTTAATGATCTTGCCTGGAGCGAAACAGATAAGCAACACTTAATATTTTTACACGCTTGCCATAAATCAGGGCAAAAAAGAGAGATCTCTTCGAAGCCTTGAGAAGGTTTTATGATGCTACATAATTGACTCACTTTTGTTTTTTCTTTTCCTCTTTTTATCTTTCACAGTTATAACATACATAAATTAACACACTGTGCCACCGACAGCATTACGCACAAGGAAAGAGTTATGTTTGGTGGAAAGCAAAAGTAATGGTTATCAATCGCCGATGTACAGACAGATTTTTGGAAGCATGGGCATTTCTGAGATATGCAGTTGATTTTTTCACATTAAGAGTTACAGCATTTTTATATCACACTGCCTTGTTATTTCCCAGAGTTCATGGCTGTTCACTTTCTGGTGAGACAAACGAAAACAGAAGAGGTGAAACACAGAATAACTTATTTACTGCATTTAAGTATGACTTTCTAGTAAGTGTAAATGCCTTTTTCTTTCACTTAAGACTTTTGAAGTTTACTCACTACATTTCAAAAGAAAATTCTCTACTCACTGTATTTTCAAAACAGATCTGTTACTAAGCTACATTACACTCAATTATCTGAAAATTAGTAGAGTGGACATTAATAGTTTTTCCTCAGATATAAGGTTTGTCATTGCCGTTATACTGGTGTGCCACAAATATGCACAGATATTGCGCCATGCAAACAGTGTAAACCAAGCTATTGTTATTGCTTTAGCTGAGTCAGGGATGTTTCAGACCTGTTTCAAATGAAAATGAAAACAGGTTCAGTTGTGTGTTTTTTTTTTTACTATTTTGTACAATAACATATTTCAGGTTTACAAAAATAGTTTTACTTAATTGTCTAAAACAGTTTTATTTGAGAGATAAAAAATGATTTTTTTGCCGTACTGCTCACTGCTACTGGAAATCACTGCAGATTTTTCACTTCAGACATTTTCCACCAGTTGATAAGCTCAAATTCCTAACAAATCTAAACTCTAATGGATGCAACAACAGAGGCCAGTAGTGCCTTGATATATTTATTTGCAAATTTCTCCATTGCAGGAGAAGTAGGTAAATTTAGGAGTGTTAAGAGTACTTTTTATTTAAATTGAGTATAGAATTTAAACCTGTACTTTAGATATATTTTTGTACTTCTACCACCAAGTCACTTACTGGTTGCCCTGGCGCTCCTCTGGGGCCATCCTTCCCTGTGTCCCCTGGGGGTCCCCTAGGGCCAGGGGGGCCTGGAGGTCCAGGAGGTCCTGGGGGACCTGCTTGACCCTGATCACCCTGAGAAGCAAATGATGCAGAAGTATAAGTGTGAAGTCACAGCGTATGAAAGCATTCGGCATGAACAGACCAAACTCTAGCGAAAGAGTGAGGGCAATGAAAATAGCTATCATAGAGAACATGGAGGGGGGTTTTGTCTCACAGCAGAGTTTAAATCAACACCACTATAAGGCTACAGACATGATGTTAGCCCTCTGTATTAATCCACTGATTTATGAGCTTGGAGTACAGTTCTGCTACGAAAAACTCCTGCTGGAATTTCAATGCATAATTGCCTTTAATTATTTCCAGATTTCCATCCAGTTGGGTCTGCAATGAAGACATTGATGATTGTGTTGAATATAACAACACAATATTATTCAACAGCTAGAAACTTTCACATGGCCTGTTAGACTGCAGTCAGAGGTGAAAAGTGACAAGTTACAATTGCTCTTGTTACAGTACATGAGTACATTTATCTCTAACAATATTTCAAATCAGCAATTTTACTTTTACTTCAGCCAGCACTTCATGTATTTCTAATAACACATTACACTTAGCTACTCTAATTTTTAAAAACTTACAAAGAGAAAAAAGCTGCTTTTTACAGCTTACAAGCTGAGGAAAGATTGACACTAAATAGCTACAGTGTTAATTTGACTTACGTTTGGTACATGTTGTCAGTTTAAAACTACAACAACCTCTGTTTTTAGAAGTGCGAGTGCTTGTTAGCTGGCTAATTTAATCAACTAATAACAATAAATGTAGCTAAAGTTTAGGTGACCAGTAAACCTAGTGACACATTGAGCATTTGAACCTTTCTGAAGATTAATATTAACTCTTTTTCATAGTAGCCATAAATTGCAATTTCCCTCTGTTTTGGAGATCCCTCAGTTTTTGCACTACGCATTTTTTCTTCAATAATGCTGATGGACTGTACTTCAGTGTGTTTGAAATACAAAACTGGACGCAAAACTGGATCTTCATCTTTGTAGGTGAGCAATCAAGTCAGCATTAAAAAAGTGTTTTACTGTCTCTTTTTTATATCAAAAATGCTGCAAAGATAAAATGCTGTCTGTTTTATCTCAGCACGACTGTCATCGTGGGGAGGTGTGGATTGTTTTTGCCACTTGCTAGCAGCTCAACACAGAGTTACAACATTTCACACACAGAGGGCCAACAGTGTTCGAGTTAATCTGATAACAGAGCTTTGAGAAAAACTGTTTTATTAGACAATATTATTAAAACTAGAGAGCCCAAAGAAAAAGGCTACAATAAGCCAAAGCACTGTAATTACTTTGGTAGTTATTTTTTTTAATAAACAACTTATGTACTCTTACTTTTCTACTCTTCTTAATGTTTTTACTTTGCAAGTGCAGCACATAGCAGCACCCAAATGAAGGCATTTTCAGTACTTCGACCTTTGACTGCAGCAGGCAGAACAATTTCTTTGAACCTGTAATTTACACATTTTAGTTCGTTTTTCATTTGAGACACAGGCAAAAAAATTTCGCTGAACTCTTATTTCATATATACCGCAGGAGAGGAGTTCTCTTTTTGACATTAAAGGAAAACACAGAATACTTATCGCACTATTTATTATAAGTTTAGTAGACAGTTTAACGCAAATCAAAAACAAACGAGCTCTTAATAGCGCTAAAACACCACTGTGAGCTCAGAATGATTGCTATTCATTGCAGCTTATTTCATGTTGGCCAGCCTGAGGGTTGGCGAGGAGAGCCTGAAGAATGGAGAGGAAGTGGAGGGCCAAGAGGAGAAGCCTTGTGGAATAGTGAGAGAGAGAAAGAGAGAGTAGAGTGAGGTTAAGCACTACCTTAATGAGCCGGCGCTTAATGAGCTGCTGATCAGCAGAAAGAAAGCCATGATTGATCTTAGGGAAGACCATCTGAGCAGGTGTGTGAGGTCAAGAGGTCGGAGGTCAGAGGTGAGAGAGGTTGGAGAGGAGATAGTTGCATGAGGTCCCAGAAGAAGGAGGAAGTGGAAGAAATATATGGAAAAAAAGCATAAAAATAGATTAGATCAAGTAGTTGAGTCAAAGGACCCAATCCAGTGCCTTCATGCATGAGTAGAAATCCACACTTTTCCACAGTGGCTGCTTCGGATGTGGCCTCTATTTGGCAGCCAGAGGCCACAATTACCACCTCAGGGGTGCTGGGACACCCACATGGAGTTTGCTCGCCCAAGGAAAAATGTCAATTTCTGCTCATTGAAAGCACTGTCATCACAGTAATGCTTAGTGCCAAGCCAGACCCCAGGAGCTGCACACACTGAAAGCGATGGTGGTGACTTTTAATAAAAAAACTGGCCTTATTAAAAATACTCACAGATATGGGAATTGTCAAGACATGTTAATGAATGTTAGGCATCCCATTTTCTCTATATTTTTTAATAGTTTTTCTTTGGAATCCAGTATTGGAAACTCTTATTTTTTCACTTATTTTCATTTGCCTTTATATCTTCTGAAACATGAATAACTAAATGGCCATTTTGATTGGAAATTAAATGAATAAAAGATGTCTCTGGCTTTTGTACAGTACAGTACACAGAGATTTGTAATTTAAATAAAATAACTTAATCATTACATGTGAGGGATATTTTTAAACATGTTATGCGGGTGTTGAAAGGAGTAAATCTGTGGTGAACCATGGGCATTTACTTTAAAAACATTTTGCCACTTTATCACATAATGTGCCTTTCTCAATTTTTTCCACTTACATGGTTGCAGTCCAGACCATATCTGGGTTAGAATCTAAATCCTGTTTCTAATTAATTGCACATTACCGCTTTGCTTTTTTTATTTTTGACAAAGCTGCCAGCACTGCTCAGTCTGTCTTCCTGTATCCTTGGCACTCTACAGTATATAGAAAAGAACCCCATTTTTTACTGGGGCTGCTGGTAGCTCAGGGGCATAAAAGCAATTGATTAGACTCGATTAATCAGACGCAGTTGTGCCGCTGTCATTGAGTGGTCCAGGGGACAAATGTGTGGAGGATGTATGTCATCTCAGTGTGTGTGCCATAGAGTCTGCCTGAGCAGCTAGGCCACTCCAACAAACCTTCACAGTCAGGATTTGATTGCTGTGCAATGCAGCCAGGGTGGGCAGACCAGGAAGTCCCTGAGGACAAAACGGCACAACACAAACACAACCATACAACCAGACAACATGACAAATGCAAACCAACATGTACAGCATTGGACAGTTCCACCAAGCACTTCACATCACCCTTGGAATCAAACTGAGGCGCAGCAGTCGGGACACGTTGCCCATGCAGTTTGATTGAGCTGCTTTTAAACAGAAACGTGTTGTTAAATGTTGGATAAGAGACTCAATTTCATCTCAGCAAGGCATGAGTTTGGATTTGGGCTCCTGTTTCATGTGCCAAATAAATTAGACTTTTCAACTTTGAAGTTTTTTTGTCTTCATGCTTTGCCAAACACCTGTCAGTTAAGAACAAAAGGATTTGTCAGGGGAAGCGTTCCCTGATTCTTTTCAAATTTGCCCTAATACATAAAACTGTAATTGTAAAAATGTAATTCTGAGTGTGTGGTAAAATGTTTGCTTCATTACCCCAATACAGCCTGAAAATCTAGTCTAAAAAGATTATTCAAAGAATTAGTCTAAACAGCATTATTTTTTTTAATAATTGTTGTAAACATGAGGAAATACCACTTTTATGGGATATTCCATCCCACCACCATGTTTGGGATGTAATTTAAATTGCACGGTTTGTTGAATAGATGGAAGCTCGGGAAATTTTGCTTGTCTCCTGTTTCAGTGCTTAAGTGAAGATGCACTTTCAAACAGGATTACAATAACTCAAGATAATGAGCCAGTGTTGTGCAGTGAGTTACTAATAACCGCAAACATCCTCCAAATAAAAAAGGGGAGCAGGCACTTGAGGATTATGGGAGGAACACTCCGTCTAGGCCTCTTGAGTTATGCAGTACTCCAACGAAAGCTGGCAGAATGCTGCTTCTGCTTCATCCTGTTAGTTTTATGATGGGCTTGATCAATTTGCTTGGAGACAGTGAGATTTAGCACTGATCCCACCACCTTTTACAAGATGCCTGTGGCTAATATAAGCTGGCTTTATGTACCATAAACTTGGCCACAGTCTTACACCAGTCAATCTCACTGCAACCCTCCATGTGTTACAGCAATGTCTTCTAGTTGTGGAAAACAAAAAATATGTCCAACATAAGTCGCCCAAAGGAAAGTTCTTTAGTTTCCCCTCAGACAAGGAAAAAGAACATACTGCAATGTCTCTGTAGAACAGTTTCAAACTAGGTGTGGGTTTATGTTGTCCTCACGGTTTTGGTGCATACATGGACCAGGGTGTGAATGGTAATATCACAGTGGTTGTGTGAGAATCCTAACTATTTGCAAATTGTTCTGTTTTGCTCTGTGCCAGATGTTAAGTGCTGCTGTGGACTTCATGGCTTCATCTGGGCCTGAAGCATGCAGTGATACTAAATTGCCTTTAACATTAAATCCAACGACAGTATAAGTTATTGTCATGATCCACGCTGTTTTTCCCTCATTTATTAGATGAAGCCAATTGACCCATCCATACTCTGCTCACAAATGCATTCTTTCGTAACAAATGTTGCTATGTTGGACCAGCTTTACAGAACACTGGAAAAAATCATATTCAATCTAAAGAGACATTGTAGTGGCCAACACAGTATTCTTTTCAAAATTCAACACTATTCATTTCAAATTAATTTATTTTTGTATGTACATAAAAGGTCACACTGTTATGACAGACCTGGCAAAGGGTTTGTTTTTTGTCATGTTTTCAAGCTAACATTACCATGGTGGGAAATTCATTGTCTTTTTTCCAATCTGCCTAGCTTTGGTTTGTTACAATAACATTGTCTAGCTCTGTAGCGTAGCTCTGTAACGCATTTTCTGTACCATAAAACAGTGGCAAAGGTTTCTTTTCAACTCTGAGGGCATGCACTGCTCATGCCAGCTCTTCCATCATATTTAATTCACTTTGCCTACGACACTCAAAAAGTTCCTTTTCCTCGTTACCATTTGCACAGACAGATCTCTGATCTCTCTAACATAGATCAGTGCAGCTGATATGATGACATGGGTTGAGTGGCACTTTATCTACTTCAACAAATGCCTTTAGAGTCAGACTCAAATTGACATTTTAACGTTTAAATTCATTCCTCCATACAATAAAGGGGACAAGTCCTCATTTCACTCTATAATCCTGCATGCACATCACTCAGCATCAGTCAGGCAGCCTTCAGTTGGTCGCTGGTTGGTGTTTTGAAGTGAGAGCAGGCAGGAAGTTCAGTTGAATTGTGTGGTCATGCAAACTACAAAGCATGGGAGCCAATATAATCCAGAGCTTAGCCAGTATAGACTATATTTATTAACAAGCATCACATGAGACAAAAAATATTTGAAAGTGGATATCAAAATTAAAATAACAAATTCATAATATGTCACATCTCAGCATGTTTCTTTCAATTTATACCCCAGCTGAACAGAAACGCGTTTTGCTTATGGTTAACATTTCATCACGAGTGACCTGAAGCTGTCATACATATCATACATGTCTTTCAATGTCCATTAAACAAAATAGTTAACTTGGCCTATAGCATAAGCTCAGTTTAAAATGAGGCTATGCTGAGATATCACTTCAGAATCACAGGTTCCATACAGCACGGTCAACTCATACAGCGCTGCAGTCCACTTTCCCTACATTTTCACATACATGCAGCAGAACAAATCTTCAGCGGGAACCAAGATCAGTGCAGCGTTTTACATGAAATATAAGAACATCTTTTCTGATGGGTTATCGTCTTTGCATTACTTAGATCACTTGTTTAACGTTGCCAACAGTTGCATTGCTGTTCGCCGCTAAGTGTCGCTGGCTCTCATTCAAAATAATGATTTCTAGCTGCCTTATTGTTTTTGCATGCAGGGTTATAGGTAAGTATGGTGAGAGAAAGAGGTAAAACATGATATTATTGGTCAATATTATTTTTCCTGTCCAGTGGTGCATGTTAACGAAATAAAGTGTAACAAGGCAAGGAAAAGTCTTTTCCATCAAAGATTATGGGAAAAAACAAGAATTTTATTTTATCAAAGTTGGTTTTGATTTAGGTTGACTTTCTAGTTTTTTTCTATTTTCAATCCTGCTGTAGTGGTCTGATACAGAAATTAAAATATTTTGTCAAAAACAAGTCTGAATTTTTCATTAGATTGAAAGGGATTTTCATCAGCACACATAAACCTTGTCCAATCTCGCAACAATTGCTACAGAAGAATGCATTTGTGGGCAGAACATGGACACGCCAATTGAACTTGAACATGAATTTTGAGAAATTATTAAATAGCACACTATTTTTTGCCCAGTTTAACATCACATTCGTCTCAGATTTGGTGTATTCTGTGGCCTTTTAGCTTACACGCGGGAGCCAGCACAAAACTTAAGAAGTCTGTTTTACTTATCTTCATCTTATTCTTTGTCCTCCCTTGCACCAACAGACTAGCCTGCAGTCTCCATGAAATACTGCATGTAGTGCAGTTGATTATCCGTACTTGAGTGCAGATGGATTCAATGATTTAAAGAAGTGTATTGATTGAAACCTGAAGGCTTGATAGCCTTGGCCTGTCATGTATCTTACAAAACTCATCAAAGTGATTTAAATCAGTTTATTTTTAAAGGCATTTTGGGTTTCTGAGGCATGGCATGCGAAACTCATTGTCCTAGAATATCTTTTTAGATCTTGGAAATTGAATAATGCCTCTGACATTTGTGGAGAGATTGCATACTGGGTAAATCCCAAATCTCAACTCCACTGCATGAAAGCAGCATGACTTGAGTTGTATATGTACACATGCACAACCGCACAACATAA